GGGTCTTTTTAAAATCTGGATACAGCATCATATACCCGGTGAGCCAATGGCGGGAAAAGTGTTCATTTGCTTACTCTACTTATGTTTTCTGTAACTGTTACCTGTCCCAGTAGAATTCCTAGTCCGCTCCATACCGGGTTGAATGGTACTTATCTGGAGCAGGTTAAAGAATTTAAATATATATTAAGTATAATCTTCGACTCGTGAGCCAGCATACCGCGATCGAAACCCACTGCAGGCTTGCGTGGATTTCTGTCGTGGTATGGGACGTCGCAGGTCGACCCAGCCTAAAATGGGTACCAGGATGGGCTGTCCTGGGAAAGTAAAGACAGCCGGCGTAATGCTGACCACATTACCCACAGAGTGCTGATGGTCTGTAAAAATATGGGACGCTCTGCCCATATGCCCGATGCGCCGAAAGGCGTGAAAAGAGATCTTTACTTTACTTATATTCTTAGAGGGTGGGAGAATAGATCGGGAAATAGAAACAAATCCCAAGGAGCCAGTGCATTTATATACAATCACACACCGTTATTAAGACATCCAAACATAAGCATCAACAGTAGTTTGTTTGTTTGTTTTAGTATCCAGAAGCCATGAGTTGTTAACCCTTAGGCTGGGTAGTATGGATATCGCAACCATTCGGCCTTGACCTTGATTCCATTGTAAATAACCGTAAATCTGGGAGAAAATGTAGCTTTTCTGCCTACCCCAGGGAGTGAACCTTGACCACAAGGAGTTCGTCACCCGGTCACCGCACAATCCGGTGTAGCCAACTACGCTAGAGAGCGGGCATCAACAGTATTATAGGATGTACAGGAGGGAGCGAGTTTTAGGAGCACACACTTCTACAATCCTACGCTGCTCCTTCCTACAAGGTCAAGTAATCCTGCTCCTACGCTGTTCCTACAATGTCAAGTGTTTCTTAGTTTTTTTTTTTTTTTTTTTCCCAAGATGTCGTTAACTTTTGTCTTAGATAATTTATTTAAAAAGCTCACACAATTTTAAAAAGTTCAAAAATTTTAACAAGGTCCCCCCCCCCCCCCCCCCCGCCCCACCCCAGTGTTTTGTTGTTAAAAAGGGGCGTCTCTTCAAAGGTAAATGTATTTTGTTTGTTATTGAAGTGTTCCTATTTTTGTATGTTTTCTCTATACCCCGTTTGGGCCCTGTCTTTTTAGGACTGTTTAGGGGACTTTCATCCCTCCTCTATAATCACCGTTATCAACATCATCCTCATCATCATCATCATCTCTTGGTTGTTTTTAGTGCATAACCCTGCCCTCCTGTGTAGTGCTTTTCTGTAGCGTTCCTGTCTGATAGCCTTTCTGTTTTAGGGGCACGTCAGGGAATGGGTTTTGGGGGTATTCCATATATAAAAGTTATAGTGATACAGAAACTGCTGTCAACTGGTTGACCTCTCTTTTCCGCTTGTCGTATGGGGGAACTGCATATATAACATTATAGTATAGAGACTGTTGGTGTGGGATCCCGCCCCCAAATGGTGGGGCCCTGTGTCTTTTTTCTGTCATTGTAGTTATGTATAGGCCCCTATGTCTCTGTCTCTTCTATAAACCTGTCCTTATTCTTAAGGCTGTTCCTCCCCACAGCACTTCACGGCACAAGTGGAAATGAATTATGATGATGATAACCAGGATGATGATGATAACGAGGATGATGATGATGATGTTACCTGTCCATCTTATCCGGCAACTTGTTCATGCTAGGATCAAAGGAAAAGACGTGACATCCATACACAGTAGACGCCTCGTCATCAAAGGAAAAGTCGTAATTGATTCCAAACGAGTAAATGGTGCAAGGAGGTATGGGTCTAACATCCGGGTCATCACAGATTTCCCATCCACCATCTCCCATATTGCCCATTCGAAGTTTTCTGTCGCAGATCGTCTGTTAATGAAAAAACAATGAGATTAGTGATGACTATCATTCTTTAAAAACAAAACAGTAATAAGTCATAAGTGCTAGGATGAATGAGTCAACGAATCAGTCATAAGTGCTAGGATCAATGAGTCAAAGAATCAGTCATAAGTGCTAGGATCAATGAGTCAACGAATCAGTCAGGTATTGTCTCGTGAGCGAAGTTTGGCTGCGATGGATCTCAGACACACTATAATCTTGTCTTGTTTGCATACTCAGACTGATGCGAAAATTCAAAGGCAAGAGAGCAAGAGATGGACAACTATACAAATGGGAGGACAACATCAAGAGATGAACTAACAGAAGTCTGAGAGAGTGTACACCTAAGACGAAAGACAAAATGTGGAAATCCATTGCAGACATCTTCTTTATGGAGGCGGCAGTTGATTGATTCGTTGACGACTTTCATCGCAGCCCTGACGATTCATAGGTGCTCTGGTTTGCTCCTTGAAATCTCAACAAGCCCAAAACGACGGATCTCGCCCGTTAATTAGACATATGTGCCCATAGAAAAAATATTCATATCTGGTGGCTCCTGGTTCAACCTTGCCACCCCGCTTTCTTTCCATGTCTCCCAACCGTGACATCAACAGGGAGTCATGGCAGTCGTCATAATCGCAGTCACGGTATGTATCTCGCCTGACATTTATGACATTGTTCCGGAACAGATACCTCCAGCGTCCACCAGATACTCTACACGCTCGATTTCTGGAACATCCTCATAGCCGGACTCAAAGATAAAGGTTAGACAAGCCATTAGTGATGCGTTCAATGAGGTATTTAAAATCCGATCGGATGAGACGGGTTTTGATTTTATATATTATATATACTGAGTCACAATGTATGCTTGTATGAATGAACTCTTGAGTACCCAGCACCCATTGCATGTGTGTGTTTACTTGGTTAACTTAGAACGCAATCAAATAGCAAAGACTACTATGGCCTGATTTGATTTGATTTGATTTGATTCAAGAACCGACATCACAGCACTCGGGCCATTCCCATAAGCGCTCCGTCCTCATCTTCAGCAGCCAGCGAAGAGTTCCAAAACTAATGGTGCCAGTAGCATTCTAATTAAACGTCCATCTTGCCTTTCCTCTGAGCCTCGAGCATCTGCCAGAACCTTTCGTCACTCCCCACTACATAAATCTGATAAAGACATAAAGCAAATGCCATGCGTACGTACCTTTTATCCCTTCCGAGCTGCTACCCGCAAACTGCGACATCATGAGATTAGAAAATGCATAAGCGCCGGCAAGAGGGAGCTCAGTTCCCTTGAGCCCTCCCCTTGCCCCACCAATAATTAGCATAAGCTTTTTGATGGAGGTGCCTTCTCTAAACATCATTCCAGCGATTTTCTGTGACTTTAATTATCCAGTCACAACTGTGGGTTCTTGATTTTATACGAACTCAACTGGTCGGATTCGAGATTTGGTACGGAAATCCCCACAACGTTACACAGCTTAGTAGTAGTCGCTATTCATTTAACACTAGGCCTAACCTCAACCCCTCTATATTATGGTAATTTCCAAGGAAATCCCTAGGGATCCCTAGGAATTCCTTATGAAATCTCGAAACTGACGAGAGGTTGTCGTATAAAAATAAAGTACCCGACTGTGTCCTATCTTAATATAACGTTAACCTTTGCTTCATGCATTCGTTATCGAAGAAATAACTGTTTTCCTCGCTTGGAATGCAACAGGAGTTAGGGTCAGAAAAACTGGGACGAACGAACTTTATTTTTAAAGGGTCAAAAATTGGTCTTACATTCAGCCCTTCCAAACACCAGTCTTTCAAACAGCAGTTGTATTTTATTAACTAAGCATGTTATATTCAAATAATAATAAGCATACTGTTTACATTTTTTTTTTCAAACCCACAAAAGCATGAGTGATAAAATACATGCACACTCCAGCACGTGCACACATAGAGACACATACCCACATACACGCGCCTACACACTCACTTAAACACGCATGCACCCACATACATTCTCTCACAAACACACACACACCCACACACAGACACACACACACATATATATATATATACACAAACAGGGACATACACAGATTCACACAGAGATACACATAGACACAGACACTCACGAAGTCACACTCGCACGCAGACACACGTACACACAAACACAACAAGGACACACATACAGACAAATACACACAGATACACATGCTGACACATAAACACAGTCATACACGCAGACACACATGCATGAATACAAACAAACACGCACGCACAAACACTCGCAGACACACACACAGACACACACACACAGACACACACACACAGACACACACACGCAGACACACACACAAACATATACACACAGACAAATCTACACAGACACAGACACACGTACTAACAGAGGCACACAAAAACACACACAGACACACGCAGACACAAACAGAAAACATTCTCTCAGACACACACATATACAGATACATGCAGACACACACACACAGACAGACACACAAACACAACAAGGCGCAAACAAACATACACATACACACATACTGGCACATACACGAAGACACAAACAGACACACCCACATAGAGACACATTCACAGACACACACAGACACACACAAACCCACAGAAACACACACTTATTGTCACAAGCACACGTGGACACACAGGCACACACACTCACACGAGCAATAACGTATATAATTACCGATACACACACTCATAAATACACAAACACACCTACACATGCATATCACACATGTACATACCACACGTACACGCATACATACATACATATCAGACACACCTTATCTAATCTAGAACGGGAAATAAAGAAATTTAAACTGACATGGGATACCATGGGCAGAAAAGCAGCAGACTGGCAGCAATGGAGATCACATGTGAATGTCTTATGTGTCAACGGCGACATGAAGAGGATATAGAAGTCCCCAGAATTATGATATAATGTATCCCTTTACCGTACAGAGCATGTAGCAATCACAAGACTGTACCCGACACAGAAGAAGAAAAAGAAGAAGAAGAAGAAGAATAGGAGGAGGATGAGCAGAAAGGGGGTGGGTGGTGAGAATAGGAGTAGAAAAAGGAGAAATGGTGCCGGGGTTGAAATGCTGCGTTCTGTGTTTTAAAAGAAAAAAACAAGCTCTGTGCAGTCAAAAACAATCACCTGTGCGTTATCAAGATAACTGTGTATTGTCAACAGAAGCTCTTCAGTACTCATCTTGTTGAGATCAATGTTCCAGAGGCTGTTAGATAACCCTTTCTGTCGGAGGTTTGTGAGATCTTGAAAAAAAATGCATTAAGGTAGAGTATATTTTTGTGGCAATCCTTATATTCATTTTCTTCTGCCCTTTATTGCTAATATAGGCCTGCAAGCACCTCACAATAAGTCGCTCTACATTTTGCTGTCGCATGCAGCTCACTTATTACTTCCTTATCTGTCTAACTTCTCCATCTAGTTCCCTTTCCCCTGTCTTATTTGGTCTGCATCTATTTCTATGCTCCTGTGAGTTCCACCGCGAAGCCCTTCTAGTTATATTGATCTTATGTGTTCTCAACACGTGTCTTATCCAACTCTAGCGTCTTTTCTTCACCTCTTGATTCGAATTTATTCAGTTATATTACTTTTTCGTCTTCTTCATGAGACCGCTCTTTGATTTACACCGACAGACAAGTTCTTGTGATAAAATAGACTGTTGTTGGGTGTTACCTTTTAGTTCTATTCAACTGAGTATGATTTTGACTCATTAGGTCAGTATCGTTTCTTAATTGGCTGCACAAATGATTTTCTTTCAGATCATCTTCTTCAGTTTGCACACACAACCCACATGGGTACAATAGTGAACTACTCAGAAGGAAAATGAGCATAAATTTATTCAGTTTGTTATGTCCTGTCCTGAGGCCTAGAATGGTTACCTGTCCACGCCAGTCACGTAAGGGATAGTCTTCTCTGGCCAGATAATGTTCACTTTCGACAAATTAGAAGGCCTTTTTCCCCCCTCGAAGTATTTTTTAAATGGCAAAAGGGCGAATGTTGTATCACAGTGTTAGATGTCAGCCCCTCAGTGAGGGTTAAGTTGAGGTAAAACGGCAAACTTATTGCAAATGGGTAGGTGTCATGGTACAATCTTAGGTTCCGGCGGCTCAGTGATGGAGTCAAGTTGCTGTGTTAGCTAGTTACATTAAGAGTTTTAGGATAATTGAGGGGTCACAGCATCTGGTGATATGACTTAATATAAAGTAGCAATGAAAACTTAGTGCAAAACAGCAAGTGCCGTATTAGATTGTTAGGTGCCGGATGACCAAAGGCGGTTTGAGTTATAGTAAAAAACCTTTTAGCAAAATAGCCGGTGTTTATGTCATAGTGTTAGGTACCGACCTATAAGGAATGGTTTAAGGTGTAGTAAAAAAAAAACGTATGGAAAATGGCAGGTAACATGTCATAGTGTTAGGTTCCGACCGCTTATTTAAGGTTTCCGTGGTAGTAAAAATGACAACTTACTGCAAAGTGATGGATGTCATGGTACAATGCAAGGTGCCAGCGGGTCATTGATGGTTTCAATTGTCATATCAGCTAGTTAATGAGGAGCTTTATGGGTCATTAGGGGTCATCATGGCATCCTGGACATATAGTGCTATGACTTTACACAGAGGAAAAAAGAAAACATTATGACAAAGGGAGGGTTTTATGGAGCAGTTTAGGTACGGATAACTCAGTAAGGAAGACAAGTCGTCATGTCAACTAGATGTGGGGTGTTAGTGTCCCTGGAGCATATAGTTCTGTGAGTTTTTATTTAACGAAATTTGAACACTGAATAAATTCGGTTGGTATCATGACACAATGTTAATTGCGGGTGTTCGAAGAGGGTCATGTGGTCGTGTCGACTAGTCAGAGAAGGGGTATATGGGTGAGGGACACCATAAGTTGCACAATGTACCTCAAA